ACCTCAGTAAAGTGAAAGTCTTGCTCTTTTAAAACCATTTAAATTTACTAGATTCAGATTTTTATCTGCACCAAAATTCTCACTCAGTCTCCTAAACACGCCTGTTTTTTTGTCAAGATCCATTGTTATTATTCTCTGTGGAAAACGTCCCATTGCGCAATTTGTGTGTGCGTGCGTGCGTGCGTGCGTGTGCTACTGCACCTGATGAGCGTGTTGCTGCCGGAGCCCTCGGGACTGTAATACAGCACGTTCTCCAGCGACAGAGAGAAGGACACGCCCTGTGTGTCTGAGATGTAGAGGTGCGTGACGTTGTTCAGGTGGTTCACACACACAAACACTTGGTCCTCAGATGCGTCTGCTATGTAGTACTCCTGTTGAACAGAGAGGGCAAGAGTGAGGTCTGGGGCGGGGGGGGGGGGCATAAAGAGGTCAATGACCTATTGTCAGACAGACAACCGCATTAGACACAGAGTGAAAAGACTGGATGCTTTGTTCACTGTGTAGAATTTAAGGAAGTAGGTTTGTATTTATTCTACGGAAACAGGTTTTTCATACATAGTTTGCTTATTCAAAGTTACCCAGTAAATCAGGAACAGACTGTAGCGGAGAGGAGCTGCGGACGTACGGACACTGACTTTGACTCATCGGTGACTCCACGATAGTTTAATTGTCGTAAACCTCCTGATCATTTGTGGGAACATAATGTTGTCGATCATGTTGACTCCAAATTAATCTTTAGATATCACATCTGATACTTTCAAAATAAACTGGACGAGACAACTTTATTTTAGCATCATGCCATTTCATAACGATGTCATCATGACGCCACCTGCACCTTTAAATGACGAACGACTGGTTATTCTACAGCTGTAGATGGTGTCTGTCATGTTATTGATTGCTTATGTATTACTACACTATATGACTTAATTTTCTGACTTCATAGAGACATCATGGTGAAATCACGCCTACCATATAATCGTGAATTATTTTTTGATATGTATAAACTTTAAGTCTTGTCTGTAAACAACTTTATTGTGCAGATACCTGGATAGCTAACACAAGGTTTGGATGCTCGATGCCCAGCCCAACTTTAACATTTGATGCTCCCATAAATTCTTGACTTCTGAATTATCGGTCGACGTGTAAGAGGCAGACTCACCGTGATTGGATGGCGGGTCATAAACTGGGCAGCTTTCATCGGCTGGCGGTTGTAGGAGACCCAGAGCTGAACAGATGATGGCTCGTGGCTGCCAAACAGTTTCTGCAGAGGCAAAGGACACAGTTCATTCAATTGAAGTCAAACCATTTAACCTTCCTCGAGCAGCTTGCTGTCAATTTCTGTTGTCAGCTCCAACTTGGAATCAGAATACAGCCTGGGGGAAAAGTTAAGTTAGATCACATGCACTTTTTCTATTCAAGTATTAAACTATAATGTGTCCCGTTTTTTGGGATGTTGATTAACCAGAGAGGGTCGCTGCTGTCACTTTGAGACACTGCGCTCTGATTATTCAAGATTTACAAGCACGTTGAGCAGGCTGAGTGGATGACTTGAGCATATCTCCTCTGTATATGTGGGGGAGAGAGCGTGTGGGAGGGAGGGAGGAACAGAGCTACCTTCTGATCGGAGTCCTGGGAATATATTCTGCATTTCTTTGATGTAGGTGACTCAGACTTTCATTTGAGAGTGAAGTACCCACCATAAGCACGAACAGTGATGGGTAAGTGACACATAAACCGTTGTGGAGTGTTTATAAATGAAGCGTGGATGTAAGAAGTGAAGCACAATAGCTGTCTATCAAATGTCAAAACTCTATATCACAAGTTTACACATTTTTAAAACATATATTTTTTCTTAAAACAAAAAGAAATGCTTGTAAAGTTCCCTGAGATAACGTATGTTACGGTTTGGTAATATACAAAGACAACTGAATTGAAATGTGACTCTCAGGTAAGAGGAATATCACAGGGTTGACC